ACTACCTGTTGATGTAGTTGTTCTGTCTCACTCTCAGGAATATTATTAAACACGAGACCGTTTAGCAAGTAATTCTGATAATTGTGTTCCATCCTTTTCTCGGAGGAATTACACTTATGTCTTAATTTTTCTATTTCACTTTTAATATCATTAAGGGATTTTTGAAAATTCTCTTCGAGCACTTTAATTCTGTCCAAGAGATTATTATTGTTGGGATTAGATGTAGAACCCGCTTCCGCATTTTGATCAATAAGCGATTTGATCTCCTCAAGGCCACCTTTCACGTCGGTTTCTAGCTGCTTAACCTGACTTTCAAGATGTTCCGGATCCGACGTATTGGGCTTCTGTTGTCGACGGGTTTTTCTTAAATTTTCATTCATCGTGACTTAATGAACAATAAATATGATGAATTTTAACTATTAACAAACAATTATCACTATTTTTCACAATTGTATATAGGAGCCAACTTAACACAACCTACACTTACAGCGCCATCTTGACAGATCGTCCGCGAACCTGAGGTGACTAAGCTGCTCTCCGTTTATGTTTATGCCCTTTTCGTCTTGGTTTGCACGCTTACACATGTATTCCAATAATGTTGTAAACAGTTTTGGTGAAATGGTGTCGCCCTGGCGAACTCCACGACGAATGTTGAACTTGTGTGTATCTTCATGGAGTCTGACGCATGCCGTGGCATTATCATAGATATTTTTGATGACAGTGGTGTAGCGGTGATCTATTCGGCACTCTTTTAAAGCTTCTAGCATTTTCTGGTGGTTTACTGTGTCGAATGCTTTCTCATAATCCACAAATATTAGGACGAGGGGTTTATTGTACTCTATACATTTTTCGATGAGGCTTTTAATAACTTGTAGATGGTCGTTTGTGCCGAAGCCTGACCTGAATCCTGCCTGTTCGCATGATTGGTAAAAGTCCATTTTGTTCGAAAGTCTGTTTGTTATGACTTTTGTAAAAAGCTTGTATCACTACGACTGATATAGGAGTAGACGTCGCGCGCTAGCAGATTTCAAATATTGTACCGAGAGCTCAGTTGATCGAGAACCGCTTAGCTGTATACGTGGATAGTTTTACTATAGAAGCGATTCGCGACGTTGACAAGTTTGGTGTCAAATCTAAATTTTTAATATTTTTTATTAATAGTGATTTTGAATATTATAATTGTTCATTTAATATAAAAATGAATCAACAGTGTAAAGTGAAGCGAAAGATTTTGAATGCTCAAGCTCGTGAAATAATACACTCTGTGTTAAAATTCGCTCAACGAGAAGCAGCTGCTGATAAATGTATTATTGACTTTAAAAAAGTACAAGAGCGTGTGGCCAGTATGACAGGTGATTTGGTAAATAATCTAATAAAAAGAATGGTAAATAATCTGAGATTTTTGGTTGCATTTTCAGGAGTTTCTATATGTAGCATCAAAAATATTGCGAAGGAGGGCCGGGAAATTGCAGCAGGAAATATATCCGGTTTTGTCACTCCTAATAAGAGGCGGAAAAAATCTTCAAAAATAAAATTAGACACAGTTGAACAAGGTCTGTTACGTCGGCAAATTATTAATTTTCATATAACTGAAAAACAAGTTCCAACTGTAAATAAAATTCATAAGAGATTTGTTGAAGAATTTGATTATAAAGGAGGCAAGGACAGTATGCGTTTGGAAATTAGGAATCTCGGATTTCGTTGGAAAAAAACAGAAAATAATCGAAAGCTTTTGATAGAAAAACATGATATAAGACACCTACGATTACAGTATTTAAGACAGATTAAACAATTTAGAAACGAAAAAAGATTTATTGTGTTTACCGATGAAACGTATTTACTGTCAAGTCATAGTCGCAGTAATAGTTGGACTGATGAAACGAACAGTGGGCTTAAAAAACCTGTTTCTAAGGGCCAACGTTTAATCATTGTGGGTGCAGGGAACGAAGCAGGTTTTGTCGGTGACTCTTATGTGAGATGGAAGTCCCAAACAAAATCGGGTGATTATCATGATGATATGAATTTTGTCAACTACAAAAAGTGGTTAGAAGAAAAATTGTTGAGAAATCTGCCTCCCAACAGTGTCATCGTAATGGATAATGCACCTTATCATAATACTCAAGAGGATAAAGCACCAACATCCGCATCAACAAAGAGTAAAATGATAGATTGGCTAAAAGCTAGAAATATTCCTTTTCCTGCTAACATGCTCAGACCAGATTTATATGCCATTATAAAATTACATAAACCTAAATATGTTAAATTTGCTGTTGATTCCATTATTAGAAATAACGGACATGACGTATTAAGGCTCCCACCATATCATCCAGATTTAAACCCGATAGAGCTTGTTTGGGCAGCACTAAAAAATTATGTTGGAACACGAAATGTAGATTTCACTTTTAATTCTATTCAAAAATTGTCGGATGAGTTTTTTGAAGTATTTTCCGCAGAAGAATGGAAAAAAATTGTAGACAAAGTGAAAACTATTGAGGATGATTTCATTTCAAAGGAGCCATCATTTGATGCTGCCATAGAATCATGTATTATTAATTTAGGTGAAGATTCTGATAGCGAAGATATATTCTCAGACACAGTCACCGATGACAGCGATGAGGATTTGATTTAATAAGTCTATAAAGTAATATCCAATTTGTGTGTTTCAATGTTTTTTCAGAGAAATGACTTCTATGATATCTTTTTCTGACATTTTCGCAAAATTCCGTGATGAAATGAGTATGTATATTTCAAAGGAGAGAAAATGCAGTTCAAAGTGGACATGTGGAACAAGCAACATAATATGATGGTGTTGTGAAAAAAACTAATTACTCTTATAATAATACAATCTCTGAATAGACAATAGACTCTGAATGAATATTGCATTGTGGATTAGGCCTATTGGGGACACCACATAAAAATAAAACGCACCGATAACTTTACCTCATGGGTGGTGTGAAAACAAGTTAATTGGAGAAGTTTTAACTCCACTCTTGTGATTTTTAAAAAATTGGTTCAGTTGTGATTCTTTGATAGTATAATAAGTTTATTTATATTGTCATAGATTGATTAGTTCTAGAAACACTAAAGATTTTATTGAGTAAATTCACGAAACAAAATAAAATAGCTAAAAGTTAAAACATCGTACGTCTTTTATAATTAAGTTCATTGTGTAATGCAGAGGATGGAAGTTACCATATTCAAAACCAAAACGTGGCAACACTGTTATTTAAGCCCCAAACGAATTCCGTATCTCTCCTCCGATTTACGCGCAGCTCACGTCTATTCTTATATCAGTTGTATTGTATATGTGTGAGATGAGGCTGATTGGTCTATAGTTTACGAGATTTGTTAAATCTCCTTTCTTAAACACTAGAATGATCACTGCATTTTGCCATTGTGATGGTGTTGTTCCTCTTTCAAGGCATTTTGTGAAAAGTATGAAAAGCATTTGTATCAGTTTCTCGCCTCCTAATTTTATGGCTTCGGCAACGACCCCGTCGTCGCCAGGTGACTTATTATTTTTCATTTGTAGGAGAGCTTTTTTGATTTCATCAACAGTAACATCTGGTATGTCTTCCGAGCCCTGGTTTAGAACCTTTGGTATGTTGTCAGTTGGAACATTTTCTTCTGTTTTGCTGTAGAGTTCGCTGTAAAATTGTCCGACAGTTTGTAGAATTTCATGTTTATCTGTTATTATTTCGCCCTTTGTGTTTTTGCAGTTTGTAAATATTTTTCTTTCCTATTTGCTGTTTCCTTCTGAAGACTTTTAAACTTTTGTTCTCTTCTATGACTTTTGATATCTCTCTGGTGTTGTAGTCTCTTATATCTTTTCTGTATGCAAATCTGATATCGGATGGTAAAATGTTATATCCACTCCACTCTTCTTTATGGTGTCGAAGCCTGGACTGTTGACTTAATGAGAAAACTGGAAGCTTTTGAGATGTGGCTTTTTAGGAGAATTTTGAAGATACCATGGACCGATCATTTTACAAACGAAATGGTGTTGCACGGAATGGGATGAAACAGAGAACTTTGGACCACCATCAAAAGGCGAAAGACAGCATATTTGTGGCACATACTTAGAAATGATAAGTACAAGTTGTTGCAGCTGTTTATGAAGGGTAAAATCGAAGGAAAAAGGTATTCTGGTAGACTAAAAATATCCTGGCTGGAAAACATTCGCGACTGGATCGGACATACAGACGCTCTTAAGAAAAACAGAAGATAGAGACGAATTGACAATGGTTATATCCAACCTTCATTAGTGGAGATGGCACTAGAAGAAGAAAATCAAAATATTAACGATTTTAAGATATTTGAATATTATTAAATCACCGCATGGCACAAATCAGTCCTCCGTTGTATCTGTTAAAATTTAATATTTACCCAATTTGTTTCAATTCAGTTAATTCAAAACAGTACCCCTCTTCAAAAGCTATTTATGTATTTATTTGATGTAAATATAATCTATCCTAGTTTAACTGTCTCAATTTCTTCGCATCTTTCCATTGCTTATTTTTCTTTCGCTTCTTTGATCTTCCTTCTTGTTATATTTATCGTTTTATATGTATCTGAGTCATTTTTGGCTATTCTTCTTTCGTCCATCAACCTCAGGATCTTATCTGTCATCCATGATTTTTTCTTGAGCAATTTATCTGTCAATAAGTGTTTTTCCCTTAGATTCTGAACTATTTGTCTGTAATATGTTTGATCTATAATCTTATGTGGGTCATAATCTATTTTCCCCATGGTTACACAGACTGAATAAGAATTCAAAAATATTGAATTAATACGTAGTACTAGAGATCGGCAGTAGTACTACTAAATACAAGATAGAGTAATAAATAGTTTTACTATAGTACTGAAAGGTAGTTAAAATGATCTTCACTCATTCAATCAATTTTTTATTTTACTAGCTGACCATAGCAACGTGTCACCATACGTGTAAAAATCTAATTTTTGAAAAATTCGTTTACCTACATTTATTTCTTAATTTTAAGCTTTATCGAACAATGCAAGAAATGTCCAGATCCCATAGAAGCCGTTTATCAACCTGATGCACATTTCGGAGCGATAAATGAGAAAGTTACGAAACTTATCAAGAACTATAAAGGATTCGACAATAAAAAAAGCAAGAAAGAATTTCAAGATGTTATAAAATTGAAAGTAATGGAATCGATGTGTTCTGCGGGAGAGCCAGTTGGACTTCTTGCGGCACAAGTAAGTCGTATTAATCTTATTTTGGAACGTTTTAGTAGGACCCAATAGTTGTTAGAATGAATCAGTTAAATATTTAACTGTGTACATAGTTATTTTTTTATATAGTATATTTAGCAATCTATTAGTTATAAACATTCTAATAATAAGCGTGTTTCAGGTTCGAAATAAAAATTGATTTTAGAGAGGCAGTCCAATGACTGGACCTTTGGTATGCAACAAAAATGACATTCCGATAATATGCTATATACAACATAGTTATTAAACAATTTTATTTATAACCAATAATTTGAATTATTAACAATACGAGTATGTGAGTCAATGATTAAAATGAGTTATTTGGCACTAAGAAATTGATAGAAGACACATGTTTTATAAGAAAATCAAGTTTTCGGCACGTAGCGTTTCCAGTCCAGCAATCGGGCTGAGCGTTCACATTTTCATACATAGAACGTTTCAGTTTGGTGCGGTAAAGATGTGTTCTCACTTTTCGCGACAAAAATTCATTATAAGCATTCACAGTAAGGGACAACTTTAAAACATTTTTACAATCTGCTGCTGGAAAACTTGACTGGCAACAATAATTCCTATATATTTCCTGTAATTAGTACATTTTAGACGGATTAAATATTTGTGGTAATGTTTGATATATACTTACCATTTTGTCCTAATTTGCGTGCGATTTTCCTCCAAATATTTTCTTTTTTATTTGCATCATGATAGCATTTATCATTGTAGTTATATAAAATTTTCGTAACCGCGTAAATTAATTTTTCGTAATCCATTTTAACTTGTACTATCAAACTGTAATTATCAAAACAAAGATTGTTTAAATAAAAAAGAGGTATCACTTCCGTGTAAAAGTCCTAATTGTTTATCACTTCCGTGTTTAATTTTCACAAAGCAATGAAAACACATGCATAAAAGACAAAATAGCCTCGAACATTATTTTTTTAAATACTCTGTATCAAAATCAAACAAATATCTAAATAAACAACGAGGGGAAAACGACGGACGTCTAATTCACATTATCCATACCAACAGGTTACGGTTCGTTACGTAGCCGTTGGCATACGTAAAATATTGTTTTCGAATATACTGAACGGATACGTTAGGTGTCTATACGATACGTTCCTGACAGTGTGAGTTGTTCATATTTAAAACCATTTAAATTATATTTTTCGGAAACTAAACGCTACGTGCTGGAAACGCAACTTGCATGATAATATGCCACAACCAGAAGAGATATGATGCATACTTCTGTGATCAATGTTTTATTTTTAAAATCAGACGTTTTCTTTACATATCTATTGTTAATTTCAGTTATAATTGAAATTTTCACTTTCAATGTATTTTTAGTCAATAGGAGAACCATCTACCCAGATGACACTCAATACTTTCCATTTTGCTGGAAGAGGTGAAATGAACGTTACCCTCGGTATTCCCCGTTTAAGAGAAATCTTAATGATGGCTTCACAGAATATAAAAACGCCATCGATGGAAATTCCATTCTTGCAGGTTCCAGATTTAGAATATAAGTCGAACGAATTAAGAAAACTTCTGACCCGCGTGGTGGTAGCCGACGTTTTGGAAACTATTGACGTCACTGTTGAACTTCAACTTAAACCCATTAGGTAGTCGACATATTTGTTAAAATATATTTCAGGTTTCTCAATAAAATTATATTTTCTTGTTAATTTAATATTTTTTAAAAGTTTGTTGTGGAGTCTTATTAAATTTAATTTACCTAAAAAGATTTACAAAATATGAGTACTTTAGAGCTCAACTTCAACAAAAATGATGCAAAAATTGTTTAATACAAAATTAAATCTAATAAGACATATAGAACTCACAGCCTCAACCCTAATATCGCTAGGTAAATTCAGAGATCATTAATTTTATAGATCTACTTATTAACGGTTTTAACTACGGGTCTGGACGACACTCATTCGATTTGGCATAGAACTGATCACGTTTTGGATATCCCTTTGGGAAAAGTGGTTCATTCCTTAATGAAAGCCATTCGAAGCTCTTCAACTGTCGTGGAGCAGATATACGATCTCTTACAGGCCTTTTGAGAAGGCTCCATATATGTTCAACAGGATTAAGGTCTGGACTTTAAGCAGGCGAGTCCAATCTTTGCCACGTGTTGTAGGATATTAAAGGATCTCCGTTGTGTATCTGTGTGCTGTTAATGCGCCCCTCGCAATTAAGACGAGATCCGTGTGTTCCACAAAAGAAATATCTGCCCAAAACATTACCACCAAAAGCAACGTGGTGTGACCGAGTGTAGGCAGCATAAGCCTGCATCAATTAATATTCTACACTAATTCGTAAACAATACTTTGAGCAGTGTAACTCCTCTAGACGAGTTCGTACAGCTTAATTTATCAGTTTTCTTATGTATTGGATCCTATGACGAATATAACCTATCCTCTACCCCTAGAACATTTTTAAGTACTCCAAATATCGCACAGCAACTTATGAAGTACACAGTAACAAATCCTTGACGATGTGCTTTAAAAAGCTCTAATACCTGTTGATCTTCTCTGGAAGCTATACAGTTTCTCAGCCTCATGACTGCGCTATGTACCTCCTCCAAACTTGCTAAATATGCGGTTCTTCTGCCACAGTTGTCTGCAGATTGTCCCACAACGTTCAGTAGACCCTCTAAATACCGAGTCCATCTTGTAAAACCTTTTCCGTCCTGAGAACTTTCCCTCTCTGTCTTTATACCAGATACTCCTTGGTTGGAACCAGTTATTTTCTTTACTCTGCTGTAGAACTACCTAACTTTAGCCTTTTTATTTAAACTTTCGATTTCGTCAACACGCTGCCTTAAAAAAGCTTTCTTTTTTTTACAGGAACTATCTGTGACCCTTCTTTTATTCTATCACTACATTGTCGCGTATATCTATGTAGCATTGCTTGCCGCTAAACATTTTTGTTTGGAATATACGAAAACATATCAGTCTTTTAATTTTTTAAATAAATATAAGTTGAATGTGATATTAACCTTAGCAATCACGAATTGCTAATCGCTTAAAGAACAAAATTTTTCTCTTTTTAAGATTCGTAAATTATTTTTCTATAAAGCAATGATTTAAAAAATCGTTAATATCGCTGCTGGAAAATGTTTTGTTGCAATGTTTCAAAATAAGTTTTGATTTCTAGAAAATGTTCTGATCAATTGTTATTTTTTGTATGTACAAAACCTGACCATTTGGCTTAAACAAAAATACAGTCCCAACTTACTGCTTATATTATTATACTACTTATATTAGTTAACTGTAATATGTTTATTTTTAGGCAATATAAGTATACCTTGAAATTCCAATTTTTACCGAAGAAATATTACAGTATGGATTATTGTGTGAACCCCACAAAAATACTAAAGCATATGAAAACAAAATATTTTGGTGAAATGTTTGCATCCATCAAGAAAGTCAGTAAAATTAATTCAAACATGTGAGTATTTAAAAATTATTTTTCTGTTCTCCTACTTTAATATATCAATTACAATTTCAATATTTGTGTCGTAAGGGGCTTCAGTATGATACAGATTTTCATTATGATAGAGATTTTTAACCAATAGAAGCGCGAGATGACGTTTTGTATCGAAGGTGGCGAAATAGACAATGAGCAATGTCAAGTCAAATACGTACGTTTTGACAATTCACAATATTTAAACAAACTAACAAATTTCGAGATTAAATATTTTTAAGAAAACGTAAGAAGACGATGAGTATTAAAAATTTAACACCACCTGAAATAAATATACGAACAAAAATAATAAGAGCTGCCGGAAAAATCGCAAGAAATGTGTTTTCGCAAGGACAAATTGACAAATGACTGTTGTTCTTGAGCCAGAATGTTTTTCGTCGTCCAGTCTCACGTTTTCGTTCTATTCTTCCCGGAGTAGTTACGTGTAGTAGTTCATATTTCGGATTTCAAATCACGTGTGGAAAGCATTCCAAGTTTCTTTTTTAACGGTGTTCAGAGCCTCTCTTTCTTATGTTAGACATTGTAATGCTTCTTGATTGTTCATTGTATCTGTCCACGATATCCTTAATATTCTATCGTCATCACATCTCAAAAGCCTCAATTGTTCCAGTGAGAGTCCATGTCTCCAATTCATAGGATAGAATTCTCAAGATATAACATCGTAATAAACGTATTATTAATAAAATTTGTAACGATATCTTGATTAATACATTTTGCATTTTCTTAAATTATATTCTGGTTCGCTCTATTTTGCTTTTTGTTTCTTGAGATAAATCTCACTTGTCATTCACCCAATAGCACAAATATGTGTATAATTATATTCTTTTCTCTATTTTTTCATCTATCCTGATGCCAGTTAAATCATCCTGTTGTTAGCTAGATTTTATTTTTACTGGTGACTATCCATTTGGTTTTATTTGTATTTACTTTTAAACCGATTTGTTTAATATGGTCTGTTACAGCTGATAAAAGTGTCTGTAAATAATCTTACTCCCTTGTTAGCAAAACCATGTCGTCAGCATATCTTAAATTAATTGATAAAAGGTTGAATGCTCGAATAAATGAACTTTGATCAAGTAAAAGGCAAATATCGAGCACAGTTTAATTAATTTAATCTTGTCCAAGTACTTTCGTTCCCTAGAGGATCTTCAGGGGCATTTCGTCAATTGCGGCCTATCCAACAAGAATAAAATGTTATGAACATAAAATGGTACATTACACAATGACAAACACATTAAAATTATTAAAAATAGGCGAAGCTACATTATGTACGGAAGCCAGAGACAGAATCAATTTCTGGGAGTCAGATTCTGTCTCCGGCTTCCGCACACAATGTAGCTTCGCCTATTTTTAATAATTTAATGTGTTTGTCCTTGTGTGTAGTGTAGTGTGATGTACCATTTTATGTTTATAACATTTTATTCTTGTCGGATAGGCCACAATTGACGAAATGCCCCTGAAGATGCTGTAGGGAGCGAAAGTACTTGGGCAAGGTTAAATTAATTAAACTGTGCTCGATATTTGCCTTTTACTTGATCAAAATTCATATCTTAAATTATTGATGACTACTCCGTTAGCAATTATACCTTCTTTTCTGTCTTCTTCAGCTTTTCCAAAAATATTTTCTGCGTATAAAATAAATAAAAGCGGAGAGAGTACGAACTTCTTTTATAACAGGAATTTATTCAAATGTCTGACCTTTAATTCTATTGTCAGCTATCTAATTCCACCTGAGGTCCGTTCAGATCTATATCATTTAAAATTGCAATTAATTTATTGTGTTGAAAAGGTTAACTGTCGTCTCATAATCGACAAAAGCAGGCATATTTGATTACATGGATGCTAAATAATACCTCCCTTGTTAAACTAATTGTTCTCTACCCTTTCCAATACTTTCAATATAATATTAGAATTCTTAGGTAACGCAACCAATGTTGATTTAATGCTTTAGGGATTACTACAGTCTTGTATATGCAGTTGAGCAAGTTTAATATGAGTGAGACATATCTGTCTTCCTTAAGGCCATTCCTCGCGATTCTGGGCATAACTAAATTCCAATGTAAAAGTTTATATCAAATAACGCAAAAACTATGGCAGATATTGAGATGATTCTTTTTTTATATGAAAGGTCTTAAAAAGTTCTAGTGCACTATTTGATTGTAAATTAATAAATTGTTTAAACAATATTTTTTTTTTAAATATTTTTGGTTAAAATAAACGTAAAAATTTTTTTTTTGAAATAGGGCACTACAGAATTTTACCCACTTTCCGAATCTGTTTTTATTTTTAACATAAAGTGTAAGACAAAGCAGCTATTTCATATAAACTATTTAAAAAATGTTAAATTGTGCTAAATGTACTCTCTCTCTCGGTCAGTACAAGCTGTCCTTGTTGATAGTTTGTAGACTCTCGCCGACGAGTAGGTAAGAAAGTTGGAGGGTCATAAATAATGTTGAATAACATTATTAGGGCTTATTTCGACTTTTGACTAGTTTTGACAAACCAGTGTGTTTTGTTGTTTTTAAAATGGGTAGTTCGCGAAGACGTTTATGCTCCGGACGAAAAAGTCAACGACGATTGAGGAAATTTTATATAAATAAGCAGTAAGTACCTATAATTTGATTAAATTTTTATATGAATAGAAATATTTTCTGTTGAGTTGTGACATTTTCCTTCTAAATGCTTATACTGTTTTTATAATAATACTATTGTTTCAATATTTACTTATATAATTATAATTTATTATGTAGAAACAGAGTAGAATATTGGTCAATCGGTCAGTACATTTTTTTGTATTTCAATCAGAATTATTATTTTCTTTTCTTCTTTACATGAGCTCAGAGTAATACCCAAATAGTTTGCAGTATTTGAATATGGCATTTGATTAATTATATTTATTGGACTATTTATTTTGAACGTTTTTGTTAGTAAAGTTTACATAATATATTTCGTCACTTGCTTGTCCAGTCATATTAGTCCAGAGTAATAAGGATTTTCTCGTGACAATTAATAATCCAGGTAGCTGACAACTATTTTAGTTATTGTAGACATATAAGAACAAAACCTACCTGTTTCCTGTCTAAAGTTCGGAGCCGTTTTTTAATGATTTAATGTAATGCAAGAAACGCGATTTTTTCCACTCATTAGAAAGCTAAATACTTGACATAAAATTACAAAATTTTATCTTTTAGAATATTGACAAAGCTTCAAAATGCTGATTTTTGTAAGTTGAAAAGTCAATTTGTTGCTTTACAAACTGCAAAATAAGTGACAATTGATATTCGTTAAAAACTTTGAATACAACAACTTTACTTTAGAGTTCCAGCGAAGGTTGGGTATTGGGATACTTAACACTTACTTAACTTAACTTGGGTATTCCTGTAGTTGTTCATAGATGTACTTGTTTCGGGAGTCTACTGTCTTTCATTCATTGGACATGTCCGTACCATTTGAGATGCCTTCATTGTATGCCATCCATGACTGTACCTTCTATTCTCATACTTTATTGCATCCATTTCAGCGACATATCTTTCTTCGATGTCTCTGTTAATCGTCTCGTTTCACAACCGTGTAAATAAAAGCATGCTTTTTACCATAGTTTCATGGGTTCTAGTTCTAGAGAGAGCATGTCAGCTGAGCCAAAACGAAAAACAATCCTCCTGATTGCTTCCACTGGAATAAACTTGATTGTTTAACTGGGCCCGGACTACCTTCTTCTAATTCTTTAAACTCCCGTTTTGAAATTAATAATAATCGTTATTTTGTCTAATTACCTATTTAGTTGTCAAGACAGATACATTGTTACCTAAAGAAGTGAAAGTGGTTCAATTTAGAAATTATATCGTAAATAATAAATATTTGAAAACTAATGCATATATTCCTCCCGCGATTTGAGCTACTAATTTTATAAATCGCACCACTAATAGACGTAAATCCCTTCATTTTAATTTCATGAATGATTTTATTCGCCACATCTCAACATTTTCCATTTCAGAATATTTATCATCAAACTGTAATATACGTTAAAAGCCAATTTGTCAGCAAAAAAACAATAACAAAAGAAAATATAAGACATAAAAAAACCAATACACTTATATCTTGTTGTACATTATTTTGTTATAAAATTTTATAAAAGTTTGTGATTTAATTTATGAATTATTTACAGGACGATTATTTGTTACCTGTATGTACCCTTGCTAAGTTGTAAATTAATTATTCAATAAATAATATTACTCTGGTTTACTCGTATTATTCTAATTACCCCATAATCGCAATGAATAGAAGACCTCCCGCTCGCTTTATTGTATACACCCAAGACTTCACAATAGGGGATTGTAAGTAGGTAAAAATATAAAATTTAGTACCAGATGACTTTTAGAATACTCTTCGTGAATGGATTTTGTTTTCGTAATGAAAGATATTTTTGAAATAGATAGCTCACTGAATTTTACCGTTAGGATTATCGAGGATAGGCCTTAAGCATTTTGAAAACCGCTATCTGAACTATATCTGGCCCTGGCGCCTTTTTATCTTTAATGTTTGCTATGACTTGTACATCGATATAAACATCATCCAAGTTTATGCTCCCACTGCAGACAAGGACGAGGAAGAAGTAATCGAGTTTTATAAGGAAATCAACAGAATCATACAGAAAATTTCATACAGTAAGTACTTATCATTATGGAAGATTTTAATGCTAAGCTTGGATCTGGAGATAAGACACAGTATATTGGGGCACAGTGAGAAACGAGGGACCTTTTAGAAAAAATCGCAAAAGACTAACCAACCCTCAACTTGTTGTCACCAACATATTCTGTTAATTAGCACCTCGAAAACTGTACACGTGAAGATCTCCTGAAGATCAATCCGAGAGAATAATGAGAAATCAAATAGATTACATTTTAGTAAATAGAAGATTCCGAAACTGTCAAGATGTATATAGGAATAGACATGGAGACACACCA